CGGACGGCCCCACCCCTCGGCAACGCCATGTTGGGGAGGTCGCCATGGACGGCCTGGTAGGACGCTGGGCACGGGGCCAGGGTGCCGAACTCTCCTGGCGTTGTTGCAGTGACGCCCGGAGAGCCTTCAACATCCTGCTGACTGAGCCGCTGCCGCCCTCGCCCTCGCCCCCGCGGGATCTTCTTAATGTAAAAAACGGATCCTGTTCCCGGGGTCCTAGTCCCTTTCAAAATGCCTCACAAGTTTGCCATTCCCTGGCGTTCAAAGAGCTGTGAGCCAAGATTTCTGTGCGCAGGGACCAGGGCTAGGAGCTGCTAGAGCGGGGGACATCGCTTTTAGTATCTCTTGTGGAGAACCTCTAAGAGACATAAACGACCCGGCATGATTCAAATGTATTGTTAATTTCATTTTTAGACCGCTGCTTTCCAATAGAAATATGACCCACATGTGTAATTTTAAAATCTCGAATAGGCACATAAAAAGTATAAACTTAGTGATACATTTTATTTAACTCAATGTGTCCAAAATAAGATTTCAACATGTAACCAATAGAAAAACTTCAAATAAGATATTTTAATTCTTTTTTTTTCGTACTTAGTTTCCAAAATCCAGTGTATGTTTGACTTACAGCATGTGTCAGTTTGGAGTATCCATATTTCAAGTGGTCAGTAGCCACCTGTGACTAGTGCTACCTTGTGGGAGAGCACAGGCAGCTTGAGCTCAGCGCATATTGAGTCTTGAGTCTCCTATGTAGCCAGCTCGGCACAATGAAGGTGATAAACGTGATGAGGGGCCAGATAATACAGAGACTAACACAGCAAAATACTACATTTGTCAGAAGATGAAGCTCTAGGTGGCTGTGGGCAAGTAGATCAGTATAGTTAAGGAAAGCACTTTTGGCTGTACTGTTGATTCTCAAACATTAATTCAATTTAATGAAATGGGATGCTATTATATTGGAGAAAGGGCTAAAGTTTGTTTTCCAGGTTGTCTTGAGGTAACTGGAAAGCAAGGGCAATCTTCTTACTTTCTTCTCTCATCGTCTTCCCAGACCCCAGGGACTGAGATGGAATTTCACATATTCTGCTCTGGGAAAATCGCTTTGAGTAGAACCTTGCCATCAAGGACTTCTTTTTGGGAAGTTTCCATTGACCCAGCACACATAACTGGTTATCTGTAAACTAGGGTTGTCAAAGACATTAGGAGTAATTGTATTCAAATATCCCTGGAGTTGGTAATTTCTATTCTGGTCAAAAAGATAAAAAATTAAAAATGACTAGAATAACTCTTCATGGTGTGAATATAATAGATGTTTGCTATAGAGATACAAAGTTGGAAGATGCTAGCCAGCAGTTGGTGGTGGAAGGAACAAGGGGATTACAGTGATGGGGATCATAGTGAACTGATGTGTATGGGAAGGGTTGGGTTGAGCATGAAACATTTAAAGTAATATGCTATTTGGAAACATTTAAACCATCAATAACTCATTGATCTAAGAGATGTGTAATCCAGGTGATAAATGACGATGACAACAAGTAGGTGTATCTTCATTTAATAGGTCAGGTCTCTTTGAATTACAAGGTCAATTTCCCTACCCCATCATCATGGTGTATATGTATGCATGGCTCCCAAAAAGGCATCAGAAGACTGATTTAAAATTTCAAGCCAATGACAGTAGAGGTGGCATAGGATTGACACAAACTGAATCTTGTTTCATTATTAAATTGTGATCTTAGATAAGTTACTGAGCTTAGTTTTTCATCTATACAATAGAGGCAAATATCTCCTTCAGAGTTCAATCAAGATAATGTATAACACACTTATAAGAGTGCTTCCCCAAAGCAGGTTAAGTGTTCAATGAACGTGAGTCCCCCCTCTCCCGCTTATCCATTAAGTCAACATTTATTGAGGCATTTCTTTATAAAGGTATCTTGGGGGAGACCAAGATGTGTAAGACAGGCTTTACTGTGGATTCATTTCTAAGATGCTTTTTATCTCTAACATTCTATGACCTTATGAAAATGGAAGGACAAACAGATCATAGTAAGCTCAGTCCCATTATTATTTCACATTTCCCGATTTATTTTTTTAGCTGTGTTTTTGAATCAACTTGATTCCCCTTTTTTTCTCCTTATTGTCTTTTTTAATTTTTTTTTTCCTCTTCCTGGGACATCAACCATCTAATTTAGCCCTTCATCCTTTCCTACCTCAGTCTTGAAAAATGCAAGTCCAAAATCATTTCATCACCAGTAATTGTCTTTAAATTGCTCCAATAGTTTGCAAAAACAAAGAGGAAAAGAGATAGATTAAAAAGCCAAATACCCAGAGGAACAAATTTTATAAACAATCTAAAACCTAGTATACTTATTCACCATAAGTGCCATTAAGCTTTAAAACATTCACCCCTGTATTATAAGGCTCTGAATTATGAGAAAAACATTAATGGATTCTAACATTGTTTCCTTCTGAGCTTATTGTGATTCTTTGGGGGGATAAAAAAAGATAAAATAATAGAAAATTACTGTTGCCTGGTTACTTGGCTCTGAAGAGAAATAATGCCCATGTTCCAGTTTAAATGAATTCAGTTAGAGTAGCCATGACAGCAATCCCTCAGCAAACATGCTGTCACATTTGGCTTTTGAAATGTCAATATGGATTCTAGAACTCTAGACCTGGGGAGGACCTTTAGAGATCATTTGATCTTTCACATAGAAAGAATGACATTTAAACCATCCCAAACAGCATAGAATCTCCTCAATTTCTGAAGACCATCAGAGAAAAAAATGTTATCCATGCTAATCCCTGGATTTATTTATTTTCTATTTGCAGATAACTATTTCTCCCCCGTTCAAACTTTAGCCAGTCTTATCTTAAGTAAAATCTTTAAAAATACTGTATTCTGCAAGCTAATTTCCTCTTCTTTGGTCTCTGAGGAGCTAGAAAATACTTAGCCAACCATTATGCAACTTTCATAAATGTAAGGTTGTTAAATTTTCCTTCTGCCTTTTCTGGGGTCAATCCATGAGGTTTATTTTTTAACAACTTTTATTCTTCTGGTTTTAACATTTTTTCTCTCTAGCCTATTCAAGTCTTTTTCTAATTAGAGCCCAGAACTTGGAAATTCTGACTCTCAACAGGGCCAAACCAGCTTATTTTCTACATGTTACATTTCTGTAGCGGTATATATGTATTCTCAATACTGTGTTTGCTGCATTGCAATGTCATTCCCTTCTTCCTCTATGCGTTATCCTATTTGTAATCTTATTCTGTTATCACATCTGTCTGATTTTCCACTTAGTGGTACCCACTTAATAGTTGTGTACTTTCTAGCCTGTTTTTCCAGATGATTGAAGTTATTTTTGGACACTTATACATGCTAGGCACAGTGCTAACTCCTTTACGTGCATTATTTCATTTAATCCACTTGATCCATTTTATAGATGAAGAAACTGAGGCTCAGAGAGGTTAAAGAATTTACCCAAGACCTTATACCTCAGAAGTGGTAGAGTAGGGATTTGAATCTTGGCAGTCTAACTCCAATATCTACCTTCTTAACTTACCTATTGAATTGTAAGTTCATACTATTTGTGTAGTAGGCTCTCAGACCAATCAAGTTTGGGAGCATTAAAAAAACTTGGAGCATCTTTTCAGAGTAGAGACTGAGACTTTCTTAATGAATTGATATCACAATGAGTTTTGGGTCAATTGATGCTATCTCTGCCTTTTGGAGGAGAACTGCAGTGGTGTATGGATTTTTAAAAATGATATATCTCTACATCACCTACCGAGAATTATGCCATGTTCACAATTAGTTGCTTATTGTTTCTACATTGATAAAGAGGATATATATTCATCTGAATGTATTTTGAGGGCAATTTTATACTCAACTCACTAGGCAGGGATTTTTTATTTCCTTAATACACCTATTCTAATATTAGCTGTTGTTAAATTTCACTTTAATAAAAAAGTAAATACGAAGGCATTTTATTTAGCAAGACCGAAAATAAAACGAAGACATCAATTCACACCTTTAGTGTTATCCAAAACAGTTTCTCCAGCTATGAACCCAAGGCAATTAATCCAGCATATCATTCATTTACAGAGTGATTAATATAACAAGAACCATTTCTCAGTTACAAAGAGGTTCATTAAGCCCTCAGGGCTCTTTGAAAGTAGAATTAGTTGATCATTCAATCACCTGCTTACACAAAAGTAGAAATAAAAAGGAATGGAAATACAAATACAAAGTGATTGGCTATTACCTCTTTTGTAAGGAAACAATAGAAACAGTGGCTAGACCCCTACTAAGTAGAACTAAAGAACTCATGGTTAAGTTCACAGAGTAGCCACTAATGAAGATACAGATGGTCCCCCACTTATGATTTTTTTACTTTACGATGGTGCAAAAGCGATATGCATAATAAATTACATGAGATATTCAACTTTTTTTGGTAAAATAGGCTTTGTGTTAAACGATTTTGCCCAACTCTAGGTTAATGTTAAGTGTTCTGAGCATGTTTAAGGTAGGCTATGCTAAGCTATAATGATCAGGCCAAGTGTAATAAATACATTTTCAACTTAATATTTTCAACTTATGATTGGTTTATTGAGACAGATCACCATCTTTGTGGAGCATCTGTACATTTTACCCTCAAAATTAAACAGATAAGTCAGTAAATATGACTATCTTATTTTCACTATCGTACTCTTTATAAATGATAAACTTACTAGTATTGAAAGATAGACCCATAGAAATTGCAACAGATCATTTATAAAACATCTACTTTTTTTGGATCAATAATACAGTAAGTCCTTACTTAACATTGTTGACAGGTTCTGCAACTTAAAATGAAAAGACATATAATGAAACCAGTGTTACCACAGGCTAACTGATATAAACAAAAGTTAAGTTCCTACAGCATCTCATCAATGTTACAATGAAACTATGTTGAATGAAATGACGTTGAGGACCTGCTGTATTGCTAAATTCTTTTAGTGATTCCCCTCCCCCCAGCTTAATGATTATAGATCCCTCCAAATTTATTTTATTTTAGTCATATAAAAATTATTAACAAACTTTGGCTTTCTTGCAAACATTCTGTCTTTATATAAAAAAGTGTTAAAAACAGTACGGACTATGAATCACTTCTGCAAAGTGTAATGAGTGAGAAACATTCAACCAAGGTGACTTTGCCTTGGAAAATCCTACAAAAACTGAATTTTATAAACAGTTACTTATTTTGATAGAAGTTCCACTTATAAATAGCAGCCACGACTTTACTGCCTACAAAATTGCAGGCTGTCACATTTTACGTTTAGAATTCAGATGTTAAGTCAGATTTTCTAGTGTAAGAAACAAAGCCACAAACACAGATTGGTTAGTTGTCTCATGCTAAGGAAACCGCTGACTTCCACGATCTTACTATTCAGGCAGGTACAGACAACCATTGGATTTAAACAAATGGGTACTACAGCATTTATATTTTTTGTTTAAAGAGGAAGCAACGTTAACATCAGGAGGGGCAGGTGCAACAGGACTTTACTGATGCTGTTCTGTGGTCAAAGAGTATCTAGTGCAAGGGACAAGCTATCACAGGATGTTAGAGTTACAGAGACTTTCAGGGTAAGAACCAGAGCAAACATGCAATTCCAAGAGACTGAGATATCCTTGCTCCTTGTTCTATTGTAGTGAAGTAATGCTTTCTGAGGCCTAGGTGTTAGTCTCAGAGTAGAGGGAGCAGATAAATATACAAGTCAAGGATGCTGGATGTGACATGTTGCTCCTAACAAGCAATTAAAGGTATTGAAATGGGAGGAGGGTCAGTGCATCTTAATAATGGATACCCCACGTTATGTTGGTCCTGTGAGACTGACTGCCTTCTGCAAGGACTTTTGAGCATATTCAAATCCATCCATCACTCCCAAGGGACATTTGGCTGCCTGCACAAAGTGTGATCCAGTGATTTGAGAATTCTAGTCCCAAGAATTAGAACAGAAAAGGGCAGCATTTGAATTAAAAGGAATTAACATTGTTTCTTCCTAGGCAGGCTGAATGATCCCCAACTTGCTATTTAGGAGCAAGCTGGCCTGAGTTCTGGGGCCATTTAATAAACCAGAAGTCTGGGCATGGGACCAAAATAGAGGTAGGGATCTGTGCCAGAAAGTTGCATTCATAGTTTCACTGAGGGAAGAGGGGGTACAGCAGGAGTATTTCTGGGGGTGGGGGTGGGGGCAGCTGATAACAAGGCCAAATCCTAAGCCAGAGCTTGTCATGGAGAATACCGACACGCTTGCAATGGTCACTCCAGATAGCTGTCTTCCACTTAACAATTTGGCACACAACTCACAGGCTATACAGGCTGGATCCCCCACCCTCACCTCCAATTCCAGGGTACAAGAAGACCTTTCTTTCATGTTTGGTCGCCCCTACCCCAAATCTCCCAGAGTGACTCAAACTTTTCTTAGTAATGAAAAATAAAACCTGGACAGAATGTGATGCAGCCATTCCAAACCAGGGGCTGGGGCATAAACTCTGACTTGCACCCACACAGCTGTCTCTGAAGATTGAACATTTAGTCTGACTCCTGTGTCGCTGCCCGGAGCCCTGGATTTAAAAACGTGTGCTACTTAGAGAAGGGGCCCCCTTTTATGACTGACAGACAAACTTCCAGCACAAGCCATAGGCATGAAGAACTCTTTTGGATGACCCTCCTTTCTCTTCCAGAGGAGCTCTTCAATGTAGCATCTCCACAAAAAGACATTTGATCTCAAGGAATATACAGTTTGCCAAGCAGGTACTGGAGTAGCTAACAGGCATAATGATCCCACTTTAGCAGCTATTTAAGACATTTGAGTTGTTTGTTCCTGTCTTCTTGATGCTGACTGGAAACAACTAACAGATTGAGAGAAAAAAAAAACCCAAAACAACCAAATCACAGAATAGGTGAAAAATTTTAAAAAGAATTGTGTAGTAGTGGCCAAACCCTGACTCTGGCAATGCAGTCAGAACGACCACGTTAAGCCCCAGGGCAAGGAGGGTAGAAAAGCTTGCAAAACCTAGCACCAGTTCTGCCTGATGAGGGCTCAAGAAGCAGGCCTCTAAAATAACTCATGTATGCACTGACAAAAACGCCAGGAAAGCCAAACACTGTGCAGCTGTTTCCCCACGGCTCTCCTGGCAAACTTACAAACACATATTTGCTCAGTTGTGAGCCTCACCCACAGGCATCTCCCACCTCAGAGGCAGGGGCGAGAAAACTGGACCACATTTTCCCAAATAAGGGAAATCAAATCACCTACAGGCAACACCCTCTATTGCTCCCAGTCCTTAATGATAGCATCCCTAATTAAGCCAGCTTCAAAGGTCTAAAATTAGTGCCTGGAGGTCAAAGTTCAAACACATGGTTTACAAATCTTAACAGAAGTCATATAGAATACTTACCTGAATAAAACCCCAAATCATCAACCCCTGCCCTCCCTTCCCAAGGGAATAAATTTAAGTCCATTTCTTCTTTGTTCACCACAGTATGTGGAAGAGAGTCAAAGAAGGTCGTGTAGGAGGGAGGGGCATCTTGGTTCATCATTAAAAAATAAAGATCTCTTTAAATGTCATCTGAGGTTGTATAAAACTTTTTTTTTCAATTCTCCTCAGTGTCTGCCTCCAAGGGCTCATCTTCTAAGCCGAAGCCCAGCTTGTCAGCTAGCCCCTCAAACTGCTTGCCCAGATTGCCTGCAGAATCCACGAACATGTTAGGGATGTCTTTGCCAAAGTAAATCTTGCTGTTGGAAGCAATGGCCTTGTACTTCATCAGTTGCAGATATTCAGGGGTCAGCTTCAGCTGTTAAAAAAAAGGCAAAGAAGTCTTAGGTGGAGCCAGATTGAGAAAACTCTGGGTGGCACCCCTTCACTTTTCATGAGAAGGTCTCTGTCAAAAACATATGCCCTCTCTACTTTTCCTGGTCTCACTGTTACATTAGTAACAGGGTAAGCACTTTCTAAGAGAAAGTAATCTCAAATCTCCAAGGCCAGAGCTGCAGGAATTTTAGGAGTTTTCATGTTTAACACAAAAGTCACACTTCTCTCAAGGCACTGCTAAGGAAAGGGAAGCACCTGTCCCACTCAGCACAGGCGCCTTACTTCTGGCCATGTGGGCGGTTGGGTGGTGGTGGTCATCCAACACCAGAGCTCTCAAACAGTATCAGCCTAAACCCAAAATACCTTCTCTTCACCAGGCGGCACTGGGTCCTTACCTTATTTGCTTCGGCAATTTTCAAAGCAGTGTAGCACTCAGCATCTGCCTTTGCCTTCTCCCGGGCCAGAAACGCAGCATCTGAGGGAAAGAACGCGGTGAACTGAAGTGCAGCAGCTACCAGAAGACTGGGTCTGGCTCCTATAACTTTCCCCAACTGCCTATGTGACCTTAGGGAGACTGCTCTTTTTTCTCTGTGCTTTGGTTTCCTCATCTATGAAACGGGAAAAAAGCATTTTTTTTCCGTTTCACAAGTTGTTGTCACAATCAACCAAGATGTAAAAGTGCTTCGACAGCATCTCCCTGTGGTGGGGACTAGTTATGAGCCAGTGTGTTTTTGTACCCAACATCTTGTTAGACAGTATTATTGGGCAAAGCACTGCTATCTAGACATTCTTGTGTTTCTGCATGTTGATTCCTTTTGTAGTCTGTCTGGGAAGGGACTCTGCTCCACCTCCAGTCTCAGAGCTTTCCACCGCATCCCTCTTGTGCTCCACTACACAGCAAAAGCAGGAGATGCCCAAAAAAGGCTCTAGATACAGCCAGAGGCAGATCCACCCTGAAACTGAATACCATAAACATAAAATAGTTCAGTCCCTCTCTAACTTCATTTCCTTTTTATTTCCATCAATCATTTCAAAAAGGTTCTAATTAACAGTGGTTACCCTGGCACAACTCTAAGAGAATTACAAGCCATGATCCAGACTAACTAACACCTGTTTGGATTAAGACCTATTTAAACTTCCACTATGCAAGCAATATACTTTCATGATCTGCTGAGACTAGCTTTCTGTCAACTTAATGCAAAATTTTTGCTATTTACTTCCTTGCCTCGGGAATGAAGCTAGCCTCATGTGAGTGATATTTGCAGCAAAGTCTGGGAAGAAAGGTCAGTCTGTGGGTTCTTACTAAAACCCTCAGCATGACCCTGGGTGGAAGGGGCCTATAGTCTGGCGGGGGTTCTGGCTGCATGTGGCTGACTTAACTGGCCTTAGCACCTGATGACATGTATTTATAAGAAGTAAATATGCTTTGTTTTGCTAAGAGCTCCCTAATGAGGAGCTGCTGATCTGCAAAATCCTAACTGGCTCCTCAGTGGGCCCCTGTGAAGCCTGACAGGCCCCATAATGTGTAATTGGACACACATTTTGTAACCTGAAGCCGGGCCTTGGGGTTCCATTTTTGTCCTCGAGTTTGCTTGATATGAGGCCCCACATGAGGGAAAAGGTGGGTGGTGGGAACGAGGTGAGGGCTGAGGGGCAGGGAACTGAAGGTGAATGGTATTCAGAAAAGCCAGCAAATGGACACTTCTCTCCAGCTCCAGCGTTGTTGGTGCTGTAAAGGGATCTTCTTCACACTTGGCTTACTCACCTACAGGGACCGTGAGCGCAGATTCAGGGGCCAACGCGATGGTGTTCACTGACTTTCGAGGAGGGTAGGTAAGGCACGAGGGAGAGAGCTGCTGTTTTGGCCTAGCTTCTTAGTGTATTTCCAATGCCAGCCTGTGAGCTCCAAAGCAGCAGGGAGTGTGTGCTTGCCCTTTTTCTTATGCCTAACATAAGTGTGCTTAATGGTACACGACTACCATTTGTTGAACGAACGAATGAACACTCTCTGAAGTGGAAAACTGATGCTAGCTTGGCCTAAGTCTCCCTCAAAGTCAAAACACAGAGAAAAAGTACTGTTCCAAGGAAATCATGACATCTTAGAACAGAGATTAAAGAGCAAAGAAATGAATCTCCCACCCCTTTGCCACAAAGTGGGATCTGAGGAACGCTCAGGCACTGATTTCACGTCTGCTCACCTTCAATTTCTGAAATCTTCTTCTCAGTCTCCTTCTCCATCACCTTCTGTCCGTAGGTGATTTCTGCAACCTGAGCCACTTTTTCTGCCTCTGTGTTATTGAAGTTGAGAAGAGGCTTAGAGCTCCGATATTTCAAAAGTTTGACTCAATTTCACCTTTCACCTGATATGAGGTCCCTGATGCATGAGTGTGGGTAAACTCAGATGGAGAGCCGCTGGCCCGAGAGGCCGCCCTGACAGGCACACACGGGCAGAGATGGAGTGTACCAGTGAGCACAAACCATGACGTCAGTGCAAGACAGTAACTGGGAGACGTGGGCGCAAGGGAGGCAAGTCGTTTCTCCTATGAAAGCAAGGAACAAGCCCTAACCTCTCTCCTAAATCACAAGGCTATTTCTCCCAAAGGAATATTTTAAGGAATAAGATACTCTCAAATAGTTTCTTCCTGCCACTTCGCTTTAGGAAGTAGTCAGGTTTGTTGCTAATAGTCTAGTGTAGGGGCTAAGAACTCAGGCTCTGAATCCCAGTTCCGCCACGTACTTGCCATATGACCGAGGCCATATGACCTTGGGCACGTTCCTTAACCTCTGTGCTTCAGCTCATAAAGTGAGGTCAGAGATAGTGCCTCCCTCTCTTGCTGGTTGTGAGGAGTGAGAGAATTCACATACAAGTGCTTAGAAAAGTACATGGCTCATAGTAAGTGCTCAATAAGTGTTAGCCCTTATCATTACGAATTACGAATTAACAGGGTTGGCTCCTTTCATTTGAGAGATATGTGGAAGCTCAAAACTCATTGCCCCTGGCCATGATCTGATAATTTCAGCTTTGCTTCCGGGAGTAGGAATGCCACTCCTATGGGTAGTAAGGGTTTGGAAAACCAGGTGGTCTAACCGCGCCTGAGGCTTCCTCAAATCGTCCCACCCTCCTCAGCCCTTCTGCCCCGAAAGGGGATCAGAGAATCACATTCGGACCAATGAGGGCCTTCTTCCGCTCGGTCTCAGCTTCCTTCTCCACCACCTTCTGTTTCTGGGCTGCAATGAGAAGCTTTGTCTTCTCGCTTTCCCTGAAGGGGAAAAAAGAATGCAATTGTGAGGCCGCTATGGAAAAGTTGCTGAGGCTTGTCACTGTCGCCTGGAGAAGCCAAACTCTTTTGCTGAGGTGAGGCAAACTGATTTCTGACTCTCTCCTGCAAGGCTGTGCAATGTCCCAGGTAAAAGCGGATCTGTTACAGACACTAACACGGCTCTCCTTCTCAAGTAGAATCTCCTTTAGTACAATGCACTTGCCTGCTCACTTAATCATATTTCCCTCCCATCTTCTTTGGCATGAGCCATGAAGCACAAATGAGGCCCCCCGGCCCTTTTCAAAGCATCACTGCTCGAAAGGGTTTCTCAGTGGCTCTCCATCATAGTTACAGAGCCCAGGTGACTGTCCTGACATGCCTGCTCCATCCTACAGTGCAACGGGCTGTGACAAATACTCAAGAAGGGGACAAAAGCCTGGCACAGTTTCAGTTAACTCTGGGACGGGATGAGGTGGGACAGAGTGGTGGTTACAGCTTAGGTAGAGGGTATACTCACATCAACTCGTAATTTCTGCGGATCGCCTCAGGTATATTGGGCTTTGTCACACGCACAGCCTGGAGAAGGATAAGAATAGCACCTGATGGGAAGGTGAGGATGGTCAGAGGGACCTAAGCAGTTCTCACTGGTCTTCGACCTTCCTGCACAGAAATGACATCCCTGGGAAGAGGGGAAGCACCTTTGTCAGGGGATGCTTCCACAGTGGCAATGCTTACTTGGATGACAAGCCCAGGGGCCATGGAGGTCAGGTCCTGTTGCAAAGCCAGTTTGAGATTTTCATCAATCTGATCTGGAATCAAGGAAGACAGGAAAAGGAGTTGTCACACTTTCTGGGCAGGGTGGAGGGAAGTATAGGGGCAAAGTACAAGCTAAAACACCAGCTCAAGAATGCACGTGACAGGCAAAAGGTCTTCCCAGGGTAAAGTGCTTATCAGAGCCCAGAAATCTAAAGATTCCCAGCAAGACTTTCAGAGCAACAGGCCTACGCAGTCCCTCTCCACAGGCTAGGTGTGAGAGTATCCTTTTCCTGTGGTCCCAAGACAGAATCACCTAGGTTGTTGAAAACACTAACATTGCCCAAAAGGGAATGCGCTTTAAAAGGAAAAAGAACAAATAACAATTCTAGCCCATTTCTTGAGTCAGGCGGCAGCCTTTCCCCAGATAACAGGAGCAAAACAGAAGGCAGGCACCAGTTTCCATAAAGAAGGAAGATGAAATGGCTACATTAGGTATTTTGAAAATGGCCGAGCACATTAAATCTAGTAATTTTAGAAGTTTCTAAAAGAAAAACAGATTCTGACGTCAAGAAAGCCCCAAGGAAGACTATTTCCATTAGGAACTCCATCAAATAACACAAGGGGAAAATAAAAATTTACAGCTCTGGAAATGAGCCCAAGTCTTTTGATGTGTTGTTTGCTTTGGTCCTGATTTCTTTGTCTGGAATTCACATGTGAGTCGTTCCATGGACGTGTGTAGGGAGAGCTATAACTGATCTCCTTCTAGCTCTGATCCCCGGACAGCAGCAGGCTGCCTTCTCTGGCCTGGGCCTTCTCTTCTCTGTCCCCTGCCTATGGCATCTTCAATAAGATCCTAAAAGGGCACCAAGAAAAAGACTCCACAAAACCAGGCTGGGGCATCTAAGCTCAAACCCCGCCCTTACTGTCAGCAGCCATCTGCTTTAAGTGGCCTTTCTTGGTCACCTGTGCCCAAACAGGAGCGTCTGAGGGGTAGCACATCAAACTCCTGCCTTTATACAGATGCCCAAACTGGGGCCATGGCATTTCACAGATGTGCTCAGGCTAGTCAGCAGCCAAAATAATGAACTTGTTTAGTTATTATGCTTTGATTATTAGGGTTTAAAACAGTGCTTTCTTCAACTGTCATATCAGTAAGCAAGGGATTTTAATATTTCTATGTACTGGGTATACGCTCACGAGCTTCTCAGTAGTGAGAGAACAATGCCCATAAAGGCAGTACCTCGCACCTGATATGGGTCTAACAATTTGACAGCTAGACATACACGTTACATTTCATATTTTCTATTGAAAACAGGATACCCATCAAACTTTAAGTGAGATGGCCTGTAGCCTCTGTAAGTGAATAATAACATAGTTATTTATCAGACCAAATTATATCTGAGTCAAGGTGAAAACCTGTGGCCCTGGGCTAGTAACTTTCTAAGAAAATCTGGAAGAAATATTGTGTAAGATGTTTTCTTACCAAAGTAACACTGGTAATAAATTGTTTATATGTTACAGTTATGCTGATAAATGCTGACTAAGTTATTTACTAAGTATATACAAAGAGGTTCTTTAGATAAACTTCTGAACCAGTATTAGATAATATTTTGTAAAATGGCCAAAAAGGATGCATCAGAGTAAAGAGTAATGAAAATTATGCAGTCATGATGCAAGTCAGGGCTAGGAGTCCTGAGACGAGGGAACTAGAGAAAAAACCTTTGCCGGTTAAGGAATGGGATTAGAGACTCAAGCATCTTCTTTACAGATGCAAATATCTTCTAAGCAAAACAGTGCTTCCTGGCAAGAAGAAGCTTTAAAAAGAAAAAAATTTCAAAGCAAATACATTTTCCCAGTTACTCTGTACAAGAAGCTATACTTTACTAAGCTATCAAGTTTATGTCTAAGACAATAAGAAGTTTTCTAATGCAAAACAATGTCACATTTTAATCTCTTCTTTGAAATTAGAGATTCTTTGTCTTTTGTTGTTTCAAATGCTTTGAAATGTTTATTTAATGGCATAAGTTCTAAACCAATGGCTAGAGAGAAAACTAATGACATTTTATAAAATTCTATCAGATTGAGGTAAAAAATCAATAGCAAATTTACCAAAATTTTCTTAAAAGCACATTGAATCCAAACCCAATAAAAGACTCTAAACCCTATAGAGTGAATTTAGATCCATTTTCTACTGCAGAAAAATTAAAAGTGATTCTGACGATTTCCCAAATCTGAAACACAGTGCAAAGGCTGTTTGCTTAATTAAGATCATTGGCAATGTCAATGATTTCTCCTTCAGTCTACTCTAAGAAATTTCTCACTCAGGGTTCTTTTTATGAAGAGTCCAGGGAGAAAATCATTGTCCAGTCCTAGTATCAAGAACAGTTGTACTATGAGTTGAAAAATCCATTTACTTTTAGCACTAGCTACTAGAGAACTTCTGGCAGCAAGTTTAAATAGAACATTTTACTACAAAAGAGCTTTAACATTTACTGAAATGTTTCCTTCCTTTGCTGCTGAAGTCAGGCTAATGTTTACTTTGACCAGGTGAAAAGGACAAAAAGTGTCTATTTAAGCACATGGTTCCTTTTTGTTTTAAACTTTTTCCTATTCATCTCTATAGGTAAAGGGTAAACAAACAAACAAACAATCAAACAAACACCACAAAGGAACTGTAAGTAGCTATGGTCCTTGTCTCACTTCTAGAGTTAGAGATGAACTGTACCATCCTCATCACCCTTTCCTGGGTGCCCCTCATCTGTGTGATGCAGTGGAAAGCATACAAAGGGAGGGCCAGGAGGGGGAGGGTCCAGCTTCAGCTGCTACCAACCGGCTCTACAACTTCCTATCTTTGCACCCTTATCTTAAACTGAGGATGTTGGGCTGGATGATCTCTAAGATTCTTCTAGAACTGAGCCTGTCTTCATTACAAAATGATGTTTTAGGGACCGTGGAAATACATTTCCATTCCAGTCCTCTGATTCAGGCGAGTGAGTCCTGTAGTCCACTGTTATTCCTGGGCCCAAAGCTCCATCATTCTCATGATCTTCAATTGTCACCAGCATTTTCCAGGAATGCCCTTTGTGGCCAGTTCCTGAGCGCAGGATCCTTTAACACCTCCTGTCCATCAGTACCCATCCTACTCTGTGGGGCGCTCAGAAGTGGGCGAGGGGGTGGTGGGAGAAGCAGGGCTGCCGAGGCAGGCTGTGGTGAGGAGAGACGTTCTTACCGAAGAGCTCTATGTAGACCTCTTGAAGCGTATGCACACTGCAGAACTGGTTCAGTTCATGGTGAATCTTGTTGAAGATGAGGGCCTTGTCGTAGTCAGCAGTGTAGTTCTTCACTATGTCATACACTGAGGGGAAGGACAGATTTCAGAATAAGGAAAGGCAGGACTCAAAACCTTCTCAGACAGCAATGCTCCCTTCCTGAGGTACTGCAACAGACTTGGGTGGCATGCTGGGGAAAGCAGGCTGGTACTGAGGGTAAACTGGAGACACGTACCTGCGTTTGGGACCAGGAAGTTCACCACTTCAATTCTGTCAAAGTAGATCATCACACCACCACTATTAGAGGAAGAATGGACAAAGAAGTGACTACTAAGCTCTGGAATACAGTGCAGTCTCCTAGATGATGGCATAATATTGGGCCTTGGTGAAAAGGAAAAATCCTGGGAAGTCAGAAGGCATGTCAGATCTCCAAGGAGGAGGTCTTCAGAGCTCACAGGCAGAATAGAATCTCCTGAGAAATCACGCCTCCTAAAGACTATTCTGCCAGAAAAAAAGTGAAACTTTTGAGATGCCAGTAAGAAACGAGTAGTTCATGTTTTTTGAATCCACAATGCCATCTGATTAAAGCAATCAATTGAAGGGAAAAGACTAAAGAAAGTCGAAGAGTTCTCAGAACTTGAAAGGTCATTGGAATCTACAGTCACTGTTTCTCACTTTGTCTTCACCATCACTTCAGTTCAGCATTTCCCTTTTCCTCCAAATAGTCATTATAAAAAAGTTTCAAACATACAGAAAAATGGAAAGAATAGAATAACACCCATACACCAACACCGAAATTTAATAATTGTTAACATTTTACCTTACTGATTGATCTACTTTTTTTTTGCTGAACATTTCAAAGTCATGATACTTTACCCCTTAACACTTAAGCTAGCATCACCAAAGAATAATGATATTCTCCTACATAGTCACAAAACCATTCCCAAGCCTAAGAAAATCAGCAACAATTCCTGAACATTATCTAATACCCAGTCATTCAAATTTCCCCAGTGATTCCTATTATGGACTGAACTGTGTGCCCTCCAAAACCTGTATGTTGAAATTCTAACCCCCAATGTGACAATATTTGTAGAAAGGGCCTTTAGGGAGGTAATTAATGTTAAATGAGGTCATAAGGGTGAGGCCCTAATCCCACTGGACTGGTAAAGGAAAAAAGGAGCCAGAGACCTCGTTCTCCTTGTGCGTGTACACAGGAAAGGCCATGTGAGGACACAGCAAGGTGGCCATTTGCAAGCTGGGAAGAGAGGCTTCACCAGAAACCAGCCCTGCTGGCACCTTGATCTTGGGACTCTGAGCTTCTACAACGGTGAGGAAATAAGTTTCTGTTGTTTAAGCCACCCAGCCTGTGGTATTCTGTTCTGGCAGCCCAGGCTGACTAATACAGCTCCATCATGTCTTTTATAGCTGTTATTTTTGGAGCAGGTTCCAATCAAGGCTCACCATTATATTTGTTTATGTCTTTTAAGTTTCCCTTTCAACACAACACCCCTCCAAATACAACTTTGTGCTGAGATCAGGCCAGTTATCCTGTGGGATGTCCCAATTCGAGACCTGTCTGAATGTTTCCTCGCAGTGTTGTTTACTTTGTTACTCTAACCCAGTTTAGACCTTTGCTTTTCAGCCGGACCACTATAGTGGTGTCATCTTTGGATTTCTTGCCCCAAGGCCTCCCCCACCATTAAGACATTCTCCATAGTTAGTTATGCTCAAGTTCTTTTCCTCTATCAAGTCATTTATTTATCTGCTAAAAGCCTTTAGAGGATCCTCACTTCTAACAGGAAAAGTCCAAACTTATCACGGCACTCGAGGCCCTCCCAACTGTCTACCTTCTGTGATTTTCTCTACTGCACTCCACCACCAAGTCAAACCAGAAACTAGGGAACTAGGGGATAGGGAACTTGGTAAAACCACGAAGGTTGCCTCTCTTTTCACTGTCTCTTACTGCAGCCAGCCAGATAGCCCTTCCTCTTATTTGGGCTTAATAGCTTTATTCCAGGCACCTTACCTGGTTCCACAGGGTACATTCTTCACCTCATCTGTCTGCAGTGTGGTCTGGAAATAGAGGAGACATAAAATGCTGTAAGTTGGGCAGTGACAAACAAAGGTAACTTATGTTTGGAATCCCAAATGTCCTTGTCCTTGAATACCTATTTGGGTTGAGCTTTGTCTTTGTTAAACATGAATACCCCACCAAACCCTCCCGACTTACAGGGTGTGAGACTAACCAAGCAGAGTACCCACCAAGCTTCACTGTAAGTGAACCACCATTTGAACGAGCTGGGTAATAATGGTTTAGTGAAAACAGACCCTGGGCTAGGAGTTCTAAGGCCTCTTCTATTTATTGGCCTTGAAACAGTAGGTTCTTTACTTAACCTATCTCAGCCTATGTGACCTGCCAAGCCCATTCTCAGGATTGCTGAGACTCAAATGAGATAATGTGCATGAACACACTTTGAAAACCATAAAGCAGAGTACATGACAGAAGAAACTTACAAGGAAAATGCTGATGAAGTATCCCAGGATATTTGACATACTTCAAAGATGGCTAGTCTAACTTAGCTAGGCTTTAGATCTGTCAAAATTAATCCTACTCCTATTTCTTTTCACCAAGTTCAACTTCTCCCCCCACAAAAAAAATTATGTTTACATCTCTGAAGTTCGAATAGAACCAGCAAAATTATGATGTTTTATTTCCATTTATCTTGGTAGTCTGTGATTTAAAACACACACACACACACACACACACACACACACACAGACAGCCTACTTTTCCTTTTATACATGCACAACGGATTCTTTGGCTTTGAAGTGAAGCAATAACTCCCAGCTGGGGCTGATGGGCCAAAGCAAGGACCCCATTCAGCTATTTCAACAATCAAGTAAAGCTCCAGAGTAAATGACCTATGAAGCTTCACTCTTTATATACATATAACATATTATTAAATGATTCCTTGGAAAGGCATGATACTCATCCAATGGCTAAATAATTCCAAATCATGCACCACTCAACACCCAAAAATCTACAGTCATCCAGCCATACAAGCCAGGTATACCTGCACAGACTTATATGATGTGATGAAAGGGAGCATGAGATGGAAACCAGGGCCGCTGGTGGAAGTCAGCAGGGCACCACCTCTGCAGAGGAGGAAGAGAGAGGCAGGTTCAGTTTAGCAAGAGGTACCTATTACATTAATGCTGCTTGGGCCAACTTTCCCTTCAGCCCCATAAATGTTTAATATAGAATGACAAGTGCCAGAGCCAAGTCCACAGATCTCTTTCTTCCTCCCAGCTAGAGCCTAATATTCCAGGAAGCCTAGTGGTAAAACACAAAACCATTATTCATGCTTTTACTACGAGAAAAATAGGCACACAGGCTAAGTGGAAGAAAGACAGCAGAATCTGGCTATACTTGAGAAGAAGTCTGTTTTACTTTGTCATATCCATTGAGCTTGTGGCAATCCATCTGGGCAGTTAAATCTAGTAATACTGTTATTAATGAACTGCACTAATGTTGGAGTCCAGTGACATCAACAACCAAAAGAATAATTTTAAGTACACTTTACAAATCATTTTAATACATGTATTTTTTGGCGGTAGAGTTACTTTTCCAATCAAGTTATATGTAAATGATAATAAAATTAAAAGCCTTTTATGGGGACATAGAAGCAGATGGTAGCGAGAAATAATTAAAGGGGAGAGGGAAACCCAATCAGACTTTTAGAACTTGCCAGAGGCAATCCAGAAATAAGCATCATAGGGCAATATAAGAAGAGGTCATAAAGACTTAAAGCAAAAAGTTGGTTATGGAGGTTACTAAGAGGAAAGTAACCCAAGATTTGTAAGTGCTTCTTTGCTTTACATTATAAAGAAACATTAAAAAAAAAAAGAAAACACTATAACAGCGACATAATGGGCTACTTTATTGTAAGAACCGCTATTCTAGGGCTTGCCTTGATTGATATAAATCAACCTTCAGGCTCTTCCATTTTTTGTGAAATGTTAATTTTAAAGAGTAGGTCCAAATTTGTAAAGCAGGCTATTGTCTCAAGTTGCCATCAAGAACCGGTACTCATCAGAGGTAACCTTGTGGCACCAGGATGCCCAGAGGGCTGTAGGAAAAAACAATGTCTCAGAGATGATGTGTACTGGCTTCCTTTAGGTTTTGTCTCTAAATCGCTATGTACTTGTACATTTATCAATTACCATCCATAGCATCAACTTAGACTACTAAATTTTATATTTACATTTATATATGTGTATGTATATGTTTGTGTGTGTGTGTGTGTGTGTGTATATATATATATATATATATATACAAGCACACATATGTATTTCCCTCCCCATGGTCACAAACACAAAAGCTCAATCTAAAAGACTCCCACATTCAACAAAATATAAACATAGATATTCAGCAGCATCTGCTAGACAAGAGACTAGGAGAGAGTCGTTTAAACAGGAAGCTGCAAGCTTCTCCCCGTGTCTGCCTTACCTGTAGTATACCCCAATATGTCCCTCTTCTATCTTGTGCACAGCTGAGAAGAGAGATGCACAAAAGAAACTGGCAGCCACAGCCACAACTGCTCCCAACTGAGCCATCAGTGAACCTTTATCCTAGGGAAAAAGATACGAGAAAAAGCGTATGGTCTGCCGTGCGGGAGACAAGCTACGAGAGCGAGAGTACCTCACCAAGCTGAGTCTCCCGAAAGTGGCTCACATCCAGCCTGTTGTCTATGAACACGAGGCTAGATCTACAACTCTCTTCATCCTTGCACCATTCCCATTCCTTAACTGTGGAATTCTGTTTCCTGCCTCATTGAAGAGGCAGTGGTTCCGGATACAGCCGTGGCCCAAGGGAGAACCAGTGTCAACTGGGCAGCATTCAGAACACAGCCTTCTCTTCCTGTGAACACGAATGTGCTGTCACTGGAGCCACTCATACTGGTAAAAGGGAAGAGAGGCAGCTGCAGCACGTTGGCCCAAATTACAGGGGAAGTCAAATGACAGGCAGTTGTGGCATGTAATTCTGGTCAGAGCCTCCCAGTCCTAATTGCCTGCCACTTCAAAGGAAACCATTATTTACTCCTTTCAGATGCTGGATGGAACAACAGAGACAGCATGCCAGCAGAGTTTCAAGGTGGGATTCTCTAACCTTCCATCCAACTTCCCAGTTATTGCTTTGGCCCTGAATGGGAGAGGGCTCTGAACAAGGCCGAAGCCACACTCCCTCCCATGTACCTGGCTGGTACTTTGCACCTGACAGGGCCCCCAGCCCATGGTTAGAGGAAAAGGAAGTTCCCCAGGCAGGGAAGACTCTGGACTCCTGGGTCCATGTGCGTTCGGGCACCAGGATGAGAAAGAGTTGGCACCTAGAGGCTCATTTCCTGAGCACTGAATGATCTGGGAAAACTAGGGTAACTGGCAGCAATGTTTACAGGCGTGCCTAGGCCCACCCGCGCAGGGCGTGGATTCTGCCTCCTGGGTCTAACAGAAGTCAGGCGCGGACATCTTCGAGGCGCTCATTTTACCGTGGCGGCCTCCAGCTACTGATTTGCAGCTGCGTCCTTTCTGCAAATGCCCTTCCCTCCGGGGGTCACCCCCGCCCCACCTCGGGCCCCTTCCCTGCTCCGTTCCGAGAGAAGGTCGCGAGTCCCAAGCGCCCTGGGTACGGGCTGGGGCTCCAAAAGCCTCCGATCGGTCCCGCCTGGGGACTTGCGGGGAAGGGAAGGGACAAAGAGGGGTTGCTTTCTCGCTCCAGAAGGAGACGAGGCTGCTGGGACGGGGACCGGGGAGAATCGCTGATCAGCTGTAGCCCGGAGCCGCAACTAGGCCCAGTGCGCGCACTAAGGGGCGGGGGCGGCGTACCAGGCTGTCCCTCCAGGCGCTCCGTACTCGTTCGAACCCCCGTGCAACCGCAGAAACCGCCACACCCCTCAGCCCGCTACTTCCTTCCGGGCCCGTCGCTTCGATGACGCCATTAGTTCACGCGAGGAGACCACACCCCCTTCTCTGCCTAATTCGTCAGCCCCGCCCCCGCGCTCTGAAAGGTCAGTGTCCGAGGGTGGCCGCCAGGGAGCGCCCGTGACAAGGTCCGGGCCGTCGAGGGCCCGGGTCTAGGATTTCAGGGGTGGGAGTGGTGCGGAGCGCCTGGGGAGTGACCTCGGGGAGGACGCGAGTGGCTGCGGTTGCTGAGCGTGCCACTTTCGGAAGTTTTGACTTTGGAGCTTGCTCCAGATTCCTCTCCACATTAGGTGAAGCCTGCTTCCCCCCTCACTCCTCCCCCCCTCCAGCAGGTACCAGCGATTGGCAACCATTCTAGCCCTCTGCTAGCCACTTTTCTGTGGCCGAATCAACACACATCTTTTAAATGTGCAGATTAGCACCATTAGTCGCTAATCAACAGTTCCTACTTTGAACTGCCCTGTATGCTTTTCTAGGAGCTTTGGCCTTTGGGCCCCTACAGCATCATAAAGTAGATTAAGAAGGAATTATTCCAATTTCAGTGGACAAAATCTAAATTTAGTGAGGTGCAAGGGTAACAGTGGATGAAAGCCTCCTTGGCGCATCCTTAACATTAGGAGCTTAACTGCCTTTGCAACTCTTGTCACAGATTTCAGGGGCTTGTGCACTTCATCTCTCCTTGGCTAGACCTTAAGTTCCCTGAGGGCAGGGACTGTATCTTACCTTTAGCATCTGAAGACTGAAGGCACAGGGGAACCAGCACCAGGATCCAGGCTTTGTGTCTCCTCGTCTAAGGGCCTCGTGTTGTCCACAGCCTTCACTGTTCAGTAGCATCACTGGAGCATTTTTTTTTTTTTAAAGATTTTTATTGGGGAATTGGGGGAAGGGGAACAGACAAGTTGCTGTCCTTTTGTTCTTCAGTCTAGTTGTGGAGGACGTTGCTTCACTGGCCCAAGTTGGCACCATCATTGTGCTCTTCCCGGGCAAGGCAGATCAGGCGCCGGCTTCTGGACGGCTGCTCACGGCGGCTGCTGGTCACTCACGCTGGCTGCTGGCTACATACGGTAGCCCATGGCAACCCACCTGCCGTCCCAGCTCCAGGTTGAGCTGTTGTTCAGCATCTTAGCTGTAGAGGGCAGTGTCACTGGCCCTCATATGTGGGATCCCAACTAGGGCCCTCTGGCATCCCAAGCCAGCTCTTAACCAACATGCCACATGGCTGGCCTATTGGAGCATTTTTAATTCAGCCATTGAAGTTATTTTGTTTGCAGGGGAGAAAGAGTCCACTTAGTTATAGCCTTCAGTAAATGAAAAGCTTTTACACAGGGCAGATGGCAAGCTGGTGGTGTTAGATTTCAGACACAGGAAAAAGGAAAGGGTAGGTTTCCCAGGCATGGCTGCTTGGGATTCTCTTGGGATTCATCCTAGTTTTGTTCTGGATGAGTTTGTGCTGGGAAGTTTCAGCATATGTGGTTAAGCCCACAAATGTGGGCTCTCCTCTCCCCACCCTGTCATGGCAAGTCACCTCTACCCCCCAGTTGGCCAATCTCCTGATTGAGCCTATCAGAACTTGTTCAGTGATACAACTCAGCTGGGCATGCTTAATAAATGTTTGTTTTATAGTTGAGTGAATGAGTAACAGAAATGGAAATACTGGGGTTTATCAGCCCAAGGAATGAGGCTTAGCCTGAAGCATAAAGGGCTTAAATTAGTTACAATTTAATAATTTTCTGACTATTAAACTTGGGAATGAACTGTGAGTGGAAGTTGTGAGAATTTGTTCTCAGGAGGCGTTTTACCAGGCCTAAATTGTTTAGTTGTGTTCCTGCCTAGAGGTAGACGTCAATAAATTATGAATTAACTTTTCTGAAAACCCTCCTTTTTTGTTTCTGATTTGTTTGTTTATTTAGTTCTTTAGATTCCACATATAAGCAAATTCACATAGCATCTTTGTCTATCTGACACTCCACTCAGCACAGTACCTTCCAGGTCCATCCATGCTGCCCAGATAGCAAGAACCCATTCCCTTCCATGGCCGAGCAATATTCTATTGTAGATATGAGTATATATGAAGTAGATCTGCTATGTTTCCCAGTCTTGGCTGGGTGGCCTTATGTAGTAGGTGCTGTGTGGGACCCTGGCACAATCTCCCTGGCCACCTGTTCTGGGTGCTCCAGGAGTGTCCCTTGTGTGGGTTGTGTGTATACTCCTGTTATAGTTGAGCCAATTTGCTATTGGCGCATCAGTGGGTAGGATTGACCCTCAGACTGATTGTCTGTAGGGTTTGGCCACACCTACAGCTTATAGGCTGCTGTGCAGGGGGCTTACCCTGCTAAGTGGGATTCGCCCCAGTGGGATCTGGTGCCTGTTGAGACCACCCTTTGTGTGTGCTGCTTATGGGGCTAATTGTGCAGTGCTCTGCTGTGGTCTGAAGCCAGCCTCCAGGTATGTTGGTTCTGGGGCCTTTTGTGAGGGGCTCTGGTGCAGGTCCAGGCCACCCACTGTTTGTGACCAGCCAGGGACTACCTGGTAGGTGCTCCAAAGCAATCCATGGTTTTTTGCTGCCTTTGCTAAACCAGGATGCATTTGGGGGAGGCTATGCTTCGCACTGAGGATGGCTGCCACCAGTACCAAGCCTGGGGTAGCTCCGCTAAAAGCCAGGACACCCCAAGGCCTGCTGCCAACTGCCAGTGCCCTTAAGGTTTAGCCACTGATAAAGACTCATGTGGTATGTGAGTTGGGTGAGGCAGGGTTTCAGGGAGTCACTAGAGTGGGAACATCTGTGGTCACTAGGTTAATGCAGACTCTGGTTTGGTGCCAGTGCTGAGCCTGGAGCTACTCAGCAAAAGTCTCAGGGCAGAGAGAGGTCAGTTGCTGTCTGCCTGGGCCTGTAGACTACAATAGTTTTCCAAGAAAGAGTGCAATGTGGGTAGGGCTGGCTGCTTGTGGAGAAAGTGCCTCTGGGGTTAGGGGAGTTGGGTGGGGTGGGGCCCCCATGAGTCAGCAGGGTGGAGTGAGCAGGAGCTCACCAACCAATCAGATTCAGATTTGGCCATGTAGGGGTGGGCTCAACACAGGAAACATGGCTCCTGCTTGCCAGCTGCACTGGGGAGAAGAACCCCATACAGGGAAAATGGTGACGGTCCTCTAGCCCTTGCCTCACAGCCACACATGTCAGTCTGCTCTATTCTGATGCCCCCTGAGACTCTATCCCTCCGTGGGAGTCCAAGGTGAGTGCTTGTGAGCGAATGGATCTGTGCGTGGGCCGTTTAAGAGGATGTTTGGGTTTCCTGCAGCCTTTTGTCCCACCTGGATGGTTGGAAGCCCCACTGTTTTTCACAGAAGCCAGAGTTGTGGGGGCTCCTCTTCCGGGCACCAGTACTCCAGGTTGGGGACCCTGGAGTACGGCTGGGGTCCTATGCTCCTCTGGGGGAAACCACTGCAGCTGAGATATCCCTCCCAAGTTTCATGACCACAGGGAGATTTGGGACCAGCCCATTTCACGTCTCTGCCCCTCCTACCAGTCTCCACGTGGTTTCTTCTTTATATCCTTAATTATAGAACTTTGGTTCAGGTATACTTCAAATGGTTCTCCAGGTTGATTGTTGTCTAATTTAGTTGTAATTTTAATGTGTTCATGGAAGGAAACAGGCATGGTGTTTATCTACTCTGCCATCTTGGGTCTCCTATGTCTGAAAATCCCTTAAGAGACCTCTGATTGTTCTGACTCAGTATCTAAAGTTTAACAGCAGTGTTTAAAAATCCAGTCTTAGAAAACTTGCGCTATAGTGGCTAAGCACAGATATTCCACAGTCAGACTGCCTAGGTTTAAATCATGCCTCCCTCCATCCCTTATTAGCTGTGTGACCTTGGGAAAATGACTTAATATATCTGTGCCTTAGTTTCTTCATATGTAAAATGGGGTAATAACAATAGTATGACTGTTATAGGACTGTTGTGAGGTTTAAATCAAGAAAAGTACATATAATGCTTGACACAGTTTAAGTGTTCAATGTATTAGCTGTTGCTGTTTTAAATAGCAGATCCTCTTAATGTGCTCTTACCTGTTTGTGGATTTAGATTATTGATGTGACAGAAGGTGAGAGAAGAATAAACTTAAAGTTATGTGGTATTGAGTAATAAGCAAATGAAGGCTTATCAGAAGAAGAGATAAGAGACTCTGAAAGTATAAGTCAATAGATATTTACAATACAGATTTCATAAAGTATTATTGAGTGCTGTCTATGTACCAGGCCCTATCCCTTTCTTATTTTACATAATCTTCTGGTCAGCCCTTTGAATTCAACTCCATTTTAGAGGAGGAAGTTGAAGATTAGAGAAGTTAAGGGTTTTTCAATATCATAAAGTTTGTAAATTGCAAAGGCAGGATTCATATGACCCTAAGTCTATTTCTTTATTATAGTAAATGAATTAGGAAATAATGATTCAACTGACACACACACACACACACACACAGCATTTATTTTACATGTAACCTTTTAGGAATGTAGACCAGTGGTCAGAAATTGTGAAACTTTAAATTGGGCCAGTTCATTTTACAGTTGTAGATTAAAGCAGGATTAAAAAAGTACCCCCACCACAGCCATCCACATCCCTCTGTCTCTGGATTGCTGCTTGTTGAGTCCCCCAACAAGCTAATTTTTGGTGAGAGTGCCACCCCAAAGACAGGAGAGACCCCTTCTCTCACAATTAGAGCCCTTTTTATTAATAACCAGGTTAGCACCCAAGGAACTAGACAATTCTTAAAATGTTTGGCTTCAGTTCACAAGATTTGATTTTTCCTCTTTACTTTATTCCCTAAACAGTGAATGGAGGTCATCCTTTAGGACACGTGATCCCGGTAAGATTTTGATGATGTTGGGAGAAGAGGAGTGAAGTATATCCTTCATTATTAAGAGGGTTACTTAGAACTTTCCCCTCTTATTTTCAGTTGGAAAAAACAGGATTGGTGCCTTCAAACAACAAAAGGATATTTGCTTGGGGCTAATGATGTTTCTTCAAGAGAGTTCGATAAAGGGATCAAAGAGGAAGTCACCTAAAGACCATTTTGTGATTATGTTTTTACAGCCTTGAGGTATAATTGACATACAATAAAGTGCATATAAAGTGTACAATTTGATAAGTTTTGACATATGTAAATACCTGTGATGAAGCTATGACCACAATTAAGATAATGAATATATGCATCATGCCCCCATATTTCCTCATGCCCCTTTGTAATCTCTCCCTCCCACTCCTCTCCATGATCCGTCCCCTCATTTCCAAGCAACAACTGATCTGCTTTTCACTATAGATTGTTTGCATTTTGTAGAATTTTATGCAAATGGAATCATACAATATATACTCTTTTGTCTGTTTTTTCCCTCCCAGCATAATTATTTGGAGATTCATTCATGTTGAGTATATCATTCCTTGTTATTGCTGTGTAATATTCCATTGTACAGCTATATAACAATGTGTTTACCTATTCATCTGTTGATGGACATATACATTGCTGCCTATGATTTTAATTCCACCCATTTATTTCACTCATGGCGAAACAGGGGAAAGAGGAAGAAGTCTCCAGAGAGGGGACGACCTTGGCCAAAGTCCACAGTGCATTAGGGGAATGATGAGAAAGCAGCCTGCTACCTTGGGAAACTGTGCCGAAAGGCCTGACAGTTTGAGGTGTGGCCTGGCCAGTTTTGCCTGGGATGACCATTCTTTTGACATCTCTGAATCCATAATAATATTAGGAAGTGAAAAAAAATTGTATAGCATTTAGTCTGCATATAATTATGTATGCAATGCTCTATATCATTGATAGACTCCTTTTTATGTCATAAAGAGATACCTTATGTTCTTGGTATGTGAGTCTCAGAGGATAAGGGAACCCACGTTCCATGCTAGGCCAGTCTTTTCCCACCTGTATTCTTAGTCTCACTCTTCCTCTCTCCTCAGGGACCTAGAGACTTCAATGATCTCCTGACTCTAAATCTTGTGCAAGTCTCCCTCCCACCCCACCCCATTCAAAGCCCCTCCGTTGGTTTTGTGTGTAAGCCTCTAGTTCTCACCTGATTTGTCTCCTTCCTTTCAAGTAAAGTTCTTGAAAAAGTTCCCTACCGTTGTTGTCTTTACTTCCCCAGTTTCCATCCCCCTGTTTTCAGTCCTTCAGTCCCTTTCTTTGATGCACTTGGTACTGTTGCTCGACCCCTTAATGCTTAAACCTCCCCACCCTTGGCCTCTATGAATGCCCCTGTCACTCTTGGTTTTCCTCCTACTTGTCTGAATGTTCCCTTTGTAGACTCTATCATGAGCTCATCCTCACCTGTTCCACAGAACTGTATGACCTACTGTTCTCTCTCTACCTTCTCTTTCTGGAAGTTCTCCTGTCCTCTCAAGAGAGGACAAGACTCTCCCAAATGCATATCAGTAGACAGACCAGAATACCCTCTCTTTGGATGTTGGATGGGGACAAACAATCAGGACTGAAACTGAACTCATAGTACCCCCTCAAACATACTCTTCCATTGAAGTCATCACCATGCATTCAACCATCCAAACCAGACATTCGGCTTTTATCTTAATCTGCCCTATCATTTAGTATGTGGTTCTAAATGATTTTTTGACCCTGTACTCTCCTCTCTGCACATTGTCCCAGTTCAGGGCTTTCTCACTTTTCATATGGATTATTCTAAGACTCTAATGTTAGTAATCTCCTTACTCCAATTTGTAGCTTACCCTTAGACCAGTGCATCTTCCACATTGTGCTCCATGTGGTTTTTGTGTGCCTTTTCTGATTAAAAACCCAATCATAGGTTCTCTACAGAAAAAGCTTCAAATCTCTTAACTTGTCATACAATATCTTTAAGATGTGATCTCCTAAGCACACCTCCAGATTTTATGATGTTCTTCTGTTGTTTTTTGTGTTTTACTAGACCAGCTCTTACTCATTCTTTAAGACCCCCCCCCCTTTTTTTATAGTTTTTTTTTTTTTTAAGCTGAGCCATCCTGCCATCTGTTGGCAGCTCAGCGGCAGCTCAGCTCGGGCCGGGCCTCGAACCGCTGTTGCTCAGAGCTCAAACTCTTGAGCGAGCTCTTAACCAACTGAGCCACTCGGCCGGCCCCAAGACCCCTTTTAATACTTCTCTGTGTTTTCACAGCATCCTGTGCATTCTTCTCGTATGGCACTTACTTGAATATACTGAAATATTCTGGTTGTATGTCAGTACTTCTCACAAGAATGTAAGCTCCTAGAGGGTGGGGGCTTCATTTTATTCATCTTTGTGTCTCCCACCCCCACCCTGGAGGGTCTAACGTAATTCCTAGCACATAGTTGGCACTCAATAAGTCCTTATTAAATAAAATAATAAACATCACCTGACTCTTCAGGATGTAAAATGTGCTTTCGAATATATTAGCTTATTTCATCCTTAGTAATCCATGGGGATAGTTTCACTATAACCCCATTTTACAAATGAGGACATGCAGGTTAGGGATTAAGTCACTCCCTCAAGGTCATGGGCAGATCATCTGCTTGTCAGTCCGATATTCCCCCTCTCCCCCCATATTTGTGAATTTGGAAAATGTCAATGTGTCAGGACAGAAATTTAGTTCAATAAATTGAACATCTTCTAGCTATAAGGCACAATCCTAAGTGACAAAAACAGAGGAAGAGTGGGAGAGACCACTTGAATTTGTTAAGGTTCTGTAGCAGGGTTTCTTGCCCTTTCCACTATTAATATTTTAGGTTGGTTAATTCTGTGTGTGTGTGTGTGTGTGTGTGTGTGTATGTATGTATGTATGTATGGGGGGAGGAGGTGCTGCCCTGTGCACTGTAGGATGTTTAGCAGCGTCTCTGGCCTCTATCCTTAGATGCCAGTAGCAGCCCCCATCCCCACCCTGGCTTCCTACACATACTCAGTTGTGACAACCAAATATGTCTCTAGACATTGCCAAATGTCCCCTGGAAGGTGTGTGTGTGTGTGTGTGTGTGTGTGTGTGTGAGACAAAACTGCCCCCAGCTTAGAATCACTGTTGTATAGCAAGACTTAAAAAGCAAGGACTGGGAATGAGAAAGCAAGCTTTCCAGGCATCCCAAAGTATGGAGATGTTATATCAGTGCGGCTCTATATGGGCAGAGAGAGCCAGGGGAGTAGAGAATGGAGGGAGAGGCTATGAGTGTGGGTGCATGGAAGCAGAGCCCAGGAGGCATTCTGGAGGAAGATGGAAGATGAGGGGCAGTATTGCTGGATGAATTCCAGGAGAACCTGTGGCGATTAAAAGCCACTGGCTATGGGATGGGAGAGGTAGAAGCGTTTATGTATATGTTTGGAATGTAGATTTCAGCTCATCTTACTTAACTGAATACCAAAGAGGGAAATTAGTTGTTCTTCAGAAGATCAGACTTGGGGAGAGACCTGGCTGTAAATCCTGGAGGGGAGGACTTTAATGCCACTTAGAAATCAGGCCTGAAACACCCATAATGTTTGTCAGTCCACATTTTACTGTTCTTAAGGAAGTGTACAGGGTGTGGGGGATGAAATATGGCAGGTATTTGATTTAAAAAGCCTGCACAGATTTAATGTCCTGATAAAATGTATTAAATCTTTTAAGGTTTTAATGAATCTAGTATGTGTTTCATAAATCAAGAACTCTGCTAAGCTGTCTCCTGGTTTAATAAGAGTAAACTAGGAAATTGCTCTGAGCAGAAGCAAAATACATTTATATCACATTGAAAAGTAATAGATTTTTAAGCTGAGGGGGTCTTTCTGGGCCTTTTAAGCTGTTTGCTTATTACATTGCTCCAACTCCTTCAAATATTAAACCCCAGGCAAACACGTGCTTAACCATATCAAGATGTGAGCTAGCACAAAGGTAAAGATTATTTGTAAGAGAGCAGAAAACAAAGCCAGTATTTCCTTACCCTGAGACCTCGGACCAAGTTGATTTCTGCACTGAAACCTGGCTTATGTGTATCTAGGCTCAAGGTAGTTGGTTAAAAAATCATTATTAACTGTTATTAAACCTCCTTTCCTAAATTCCCTCACTCCTCCACCTTCACGCCCTCAACGCATTTGCTGGATTGAGGTGGTAAGTGTGTAAAATATTTCTTGACTTTTACAGTTGACTGCGGAATGGCTTGTTAAGGTTGCTGGTCAGACTGTCCAGGGCAAGCACGCAGAAGCGTCTTCCCCTTGTCTGAAACCCCAGGGCCTAATGTTCAAGCTCCAGCAGGGGTGGGGAACTGGGTGTGGGTGTAACAGATGGGTCTCTCTGAGCAGACTGGGATCAGAAACCCCTGCCACTCAGCGTCCTTTGTGGATGGGGCAGAATCTGGGTGAGATGGTTGTTCAGGGTGTTGGGGGGGAGGTATGTTGGTGGAACGAAGGGAGAGTGGGGGTGGGGCTGGAACATTCCTGTGCACAAAAGCTGGCAGGGCTTGTGAGCTCTGCAGGGGAGGGAGCCGGCCCCATAAAGCTCAGTGTGGAGAAGCCTGTCCAACCTCATTAGCTGTCACAGGCAACAATACTGATCTGGCAATAAAGGCGATTCCAAACCTGTTGGTCATTAATCACCAGCCTGACAGTTGCGAATGGAAGTGGAAAAACCTCATCCCCCTCTACCCTTCTCCTCCTCCCCTAGCCCAGCTCTGGGGTTTCAAGTTACCTTTTGGTATATATGGGGATCACTGCTGGGGGCTGGTCTCTTCCCCCTTGACTTTCCAAGGGGCTGGTTTCATCTTGGAGAGGCCACAGGTTGGCCAGCGCCTGGCAGACCTGAGTCCTGCACAGAGACTGAGGAGTGAGGAGGTGAAAGGAGGTGGCCTCAGAGGTCGGCCCTCATGTGACCCCTCTGGGATCTAGGGCTGGGTCTTGGCAAACTTGTGGAGTTGGGAAGCTTGTCATCAGCGGTCCAGCCTCGTCTTTCCACACTCTCCCCCTCATTCCCTGGCACTCCCTTCTTTCCCGCCTTCAGCCACTAAGTGCCAACTTATTTCCCTTTATGTTCCCTTTCCTACTCTTCCCACTCCTTACCCTCTGGTCCCAAATAAACAGATTTTGCGCTTAGGAAAAGTTTTCATTTCAATTCATTATGTCCTCCTCTGAATGTCAGCCCCGTGTTGTTTCCCAGAAGCACATGTAGAGTCAGCCGCATCCCTAACAGTGGCATTTGGTGGATAGTGACATTTTGTGTGTAGAGATGTGGTCGGGGGTGGGGTAGGAGGAGGGGCCCCAGTCTGCACAGGCGCCCTCGAAGACAGCTCACAGGAAGTACTGCTT